ACTTTCTCAGGGCTAAACAGACTCCTACAGGGATTAAAGACTGTCACCTCTTCCTGAGCACAAGCTGCAGTTCTTCATTCTCTTATATTTCATCTATATTTAAAAGGAAAAGACCAAAACCAGAACATCCAACACAAAATATATAATTCTCTCACTTCAGAAGAGGACGCAAAGCAGAACAAACCACATTAAACAGATGTTAGTTACATCAATTAATACACAATTAGATGCGTTCCCTATAGTGACAAGAAACACTGGTATAATGAAATTTTTAAAAATGCAATAGAACTTTGAATTGACCCCTGCAAATTACACCAGCTATCTTACAATATTTGCCTCAGCCAGTGAGGCTAAGTAACTGTTATGTGAGGTACTTATATAGCAATCAAAAAAGAGAGGATATGAGACAAAAGGTAGGAGCAGTCTATGCAGCTAGAGTGTGAGCTGCTAAATGTGAGTGGGACTCAAACCTTTGACTGGGGGTGTTTTCTGTTTCTTCCCATGGTCTTTCCTTCCTCTAGGAGCAGAGGTTAGGTTACTTTCCTAGATGTTATCCCCTTATGGACTGCAAACTAGGAAAAGAAATGCAACTGGAACCTTCCATGGCGTGATGAGGGAGTGAGAAGTCCTTTAATGGCCCTTACCTCTAGAAATATGAACAAGCCCTGCGAGGGAAAAAAGAGCAGTTTGATGCAAAACCACAATCCTGCTTTGACAGAGTTATTCCTGTGCAGAGATTCTGTCTTTCACTGTAAGCCGAGAGCCTCTCCTGGAAAAGAAATTCATTTCACCGATCATACGCCACCTAAAACACAAACCTTTCCTCCCACCTGTCACCCTCACTTCCCCTTACAGCCAGTGGCACATCCAGAGAGCTAGTGGCATGGCTAGACCAATCCTGGGACATGTCAGACAGGTTGTACCATCCTATGGGTATATATGCCAGCTCCTGTCCTGGGAATTACAACAATCATTGCTGAGATACCAGACCAGTAGCATCATGTATTTTATTTTAAATACCAGTGTAGCATCATGTATTTTATTTTAAATAAAAGAGTACACAATGTACAGAATTCATCCTACAAATCTTTGCACAAATGAAAAATTTTCAATTGCAGCCAAGGAAGCTATTTTGAGATATGGGGAGAGCTCACATGAGCGGAGTATCTATACAAGGAGGCCACACTCTTTCTTCTATCTTAGCCGGATCTATCCATTTTACATCTGTCTATACCATGACCTTGAACCTTGGCACCAAAATGTGAGGTCCAGACACTCCTGCCCACTGCTTGGAGTCCCCAAAGGGAGGTCAATTATTTCTCACCCTGTTAATTTCCAGATTTCTTCTCCCTGGAAAAACTGCAGGTTGTATTTCCTGGAACAGATCCTTCTCATTTTCTTTTTATGCCAAAATAATTAATTTCTGATTCCATAATTCTTTTTCAGAATTAAGAGAAGATCTATAGGTAGAATAGGGCAGCTGCTTCTTGACTAGAACAGAAATCTTAAAACATCAGACTAGCAGGATGATCACCACTTCAGATCTTTAATTTCACCCTAAGCAGATCTGATTTGTTGGAGGAAGTAACAGTTTATACATTGCAAAAATAAATGGTGCAGCAGGCATTCATACACAGTAGGAGGTGTGAAAAATGGGGGGGAAGAGGGAAAGGAGACTGATGGAAACAATCAGCTAATGCAGAATGAAACCTTTTTTCTCTCTCCAAGTGGAACTAATAGGAACATCAAATATGTTAAACTAAAACAGAAACATGAATGATGAAATTGTTTTCCAATTTTTTTTTTTAAGAACCTTTTATTTTCAGGTGTGGTCACACAAACTAGTGAAAGGGAAAAAAAGCAAATGCTTTCCCCTAGCACAAACAGTTTGAAGTTCCTGATTTTGAAAAATTATTTTTGTCCATCAATGTATCAAGTGTCTGCTTAGAGCAAATAACCTTGGAGGTGGCTGTCCATACCCTGGGGATATTCCCACAGGTGCTGGAAGTCAAACAATATCTTGCCAAGCCAAGCACTAATCAGCAGAGTAGGATTCGGTGAACCAGTAATTGTGAACATCCCCCAGGCCTTCAGGAGGCAGAGGCAGCAATTTCCAGTGGCTTCAGTGGCTATGTTTTATGTTTCATTCTGTTGTAGGTGATGCTGGAAGAAAACAAGAGCAACATCTGGTCCTGCCAAACATCTGGCCCAGGGAATGGGCATAAAAATGCCAGTTTAACTTTCATCTCGTACTGCCCATAAATACTGCTGTCAGACCATCTAGTCATCTGCCATTAAACTCAGTATTTCAAAGGTGTTTTTTCTTTATCAGAAAAGCCGTTAGATGTCAGAAATAATTTCATCGATGATGCACTGTTTGGGAGCAAAGAGTTTCTCAGTGAGGCAAGGGCAAATTCTTGAAGAAAGCATCTTTGTCTCAGAGGTTAAAACAGTACTGTAAACAAAATATATAGTGAGTGACATATTAGCTGTCTCATTCAAAATAATTCAAATTAATGTTAATGTCAGGGGGTTAAACTATAGATATTTATTCATTATGTTATCAAAACTTCCTATATGCTACAAGAAACAAAAAACCAATTTTTTTTTTAAATGTCACAGAACTAAACTGTTCCTCCAGACAAATGTAATTGAGTGCCTTATCCTAGCAACCATCATGCTCACTATCAATGTTCATCCTTCTAGGGAAGACCAGGTGAGACAGCATTTTTGCTGGCCTCAGTCCTACATCAGTCTCCAGGGCTCTTCCATAAGCCTGGCGTTTGTTCAGATCCTGTCTGGGGGAGGGGGGCCTCTAGTTCAACTCTTCTTTTGAAACTGTCACATTTGGACATCCACATTTTAGCTCTCAGAGCTGAAGAATACAAGGGGCAAGGGAGGCTGATAGCATAACCACTGTCACCTCTGTCAGACATTGTCACCACCATTGTTGAAATCACCCTGAAGAACCTGGCAGTGCTTCCATGTACAGCTCCATGGGACAGGTGCTGTGCTTCCTCTGGAGCTCCTGTCATTGGTACAAAAATAATGATCATCTCCATGATAGCAAATGGCCAAGATCCCAGGCCTGGAACTTGGTGGTCTGTATCATTTCTTTCTTTAAAGGGTCCTGGCAAGCAATTCCCAAGCATCACTGAGTATTTAGTGTGTGCATGCAGCATTCTCCATGGGGAATTTGGATACAGAATCCCAGCTTAGAAAGATGAGAGTTTAACAGGAACATGGCTAAACTGGGTCACAACCTCATAGCTTTATAATAGGCCTCAGCACTACTTAGTGGTGCAGATGTGGCCAGTGGACCATGTCTGATATGGGTGTGGATTGCCTGGCCCAGTGTAAAAGCTGTCCCAAAGTTGGCAAGCATTGCTGTTCTGGAAATTTATTATTTAAATAATAATATTTTTAAAAATTTATTTATTTACTTTGTGCCAAAAAACAGCAAATGGCATTGCACCAGTTTTCTTGTTCTAAGTAGCATAAAAGAGCTAGTGATGGACCTGGCATGTCTAAATCTGGAACCAGGAATGCAAGGTAATGCAGTACAGAGATTTGATCCAATCAGATCCAAAGCAGGTCAAAGAAGCAGAACAGGGGTTCAGTCCATGTATTAAACCTCATTACAAAGAATGAAAACACTTTACACTTTCAAGACTGCTTCTTCTTCACATATTAACTGATGCAGCTAAGTCTGTCATGGCATCAACTCAGAAAACTAACCAAGTGCACTCCATTTACTCTGCATGTGATCTGACCCATTGCAAGGCATATGCAAATTTAGACTTGGAGTAAAGGAACTTTCTTTAATCAGAGCCTGTATGCATTTTTGGAAAACAAATTATGAATAAGACAGAAGATTCCCTAAAACAAAGTCTACATTTAGCCAACTAAACATCAATTCCGTAAATTATCATCTCTGTGTTTTTCCTGTTGCTAACAGGGAAAAAGTAAGCAATTCATTAAATGAAATTCAACCCATAAATTAATGTAGCTACAGGTTGAATGATCAGTAATTACAAGATGAGCTGATGCTTTTAGGGTAAATAGTTCCCTAATTAAAAACAACAACAACTCTTTTTGGAGTTGTTTTCATTCTGATTCTTTTTCTACTGTAAAACAAAGCTAAATAGAAGTCTGGTTGAAATAGAAGTGTGTATTTGGCCTGGTTTATTCTTGGTACCAACCCATTATCCTCATTTAATTACTTAACTTTTTCTTGTGAACTCCTTCAGAGTAAACAAACTGTGGTAGTGTCCTTTAGTGATGGGCTTCAGAAGACCAACAATTATAAATTTTATTGCTCAGCATTACAAGATGATGGTATCTCAAGAGAAGGTGACAGTGAGTTAACAGATAGGTCCCCAAGGACAACTGGCCCAGACCTGCAGACTCCCTTCTCCAAACAGAGAAACAGGCACAATTAGCAAGTTTCAAAATGATAAACCTCTTTCCTTCATTCACCAAGCCTAACATGGTTGAGGAGACTGTGTCTCATTCACATTTTGGTACTAATTAACTCATAACATTTGGTTTTATCTTATAAGAATCCCTAGCTCTTTAGATGCCATCTCGCAGGAGAAAAATTCACACAAATATTGTCAGAAAAACCAATTACAAAATTAACTACTTTGCAACTTTGGCAAGCAGTTTCAAGGCAGGACAAAGTTATTGCAGGTACACATTTATTTTAGTTTTTTCTAGTATGGCCTTCAGCTCAGAATAGCAGAACCAGCAGCAGCAAGAGACAAATAATTTCCAGAAGCCTTTGAGGTGCTTATTGCTGTATTTCTGTCAATCCCACCACTACATTATCTAATCATGGAAAAAGATATTATTAGAAAGTGGAGCATGGGAATATAAATTCCTAGCTGCTTGGATTTTTCCAATAAAAGTGGGATTTGAATTTTTTAAAAATATATGTAAACTGAGATGTGGACATTTGGACCTGGATCTCTTCAGTATCTATGTAGAAGTCAGCTTATATATAGGGCTGGCATTTGTGTTTCATAAATGAATAAATCAGCTGCAAATGTATTTGGGAGACTGGAATTCTTCAGTTAGGTCCTTTGATGCTTTGAACATCTCTTGGGTACAACCTAAGATTTTGTCAGGAAGCTTAACAACACTTTTTTGAAGTGAATGTTTTTTACGTTGTCTATTTAGTTTTCCTCTTCAACTCATGATATAAGGCAGAACTGTTATAAATATAGTTATTTCCCTATTTGTTATACACTTTGTTCCCCTAAAAGAAACATGATTTCTCTCCTGGTCCATGCAAGAAATCTCTTTTTTTTAAAGAAACCTTAATTCTTGATTTCTAGAATTGAAGAAATATCAAAACACAGGATTTGAATCCACAGAGCCACTCTTTTATGAACAGGGTCAGTAATTTACTGTTCTATGTTTTCTAAGGATGATAAGTAACTGAACATGGACAAATAATTTTATATCTAATTCCTGCAGATTTTCAGTTTCAAATAATAAAAAAAAAACCCATCCATTTCTACAGCTCTTTCTCCTGAATTATGGAGGTCACAGAAGTTCAACTCCCATCCAGCCATAACAGAATTTTCACCAAATTGTCTAAAGTTTGCCCATCGCTATTTCGGGCAGAGAGCAAATAGTATGTGTGATGCTTTTGGCACCTGCGGGCGTAGCAACATAACTAATAGAAAGACATCTGTTTCTGTTATGATGGAAGGATGTTTACATTATGGCAAATTTGCAAGTTCTGCAGAGCAGAGGCCCTGTATTGGGAAAGGAAGTCATCGTTTAGTTTGTTTAGCTCTGAACACTTACTAGGGGCCACCTTGATCAGTAATCTGGAAGCCAGAAAGTGTTGTGGATCTTGGCTTCCCAACAGGCTAAGTGCTTGAGCAGAACTTTTGGCCAGAGAGCAGAATCCATCTTCCTCAATTTTGACAGCGGTGACTTTGGTAAATTGCAGGGGAAGAAGAGGTCCCTTCCTCCAGTAGCTCTGCACTTGATTTTGTCAGGTGCTTTAAAAGCAGATCTGTGTGGCAAGCTCGGTTTCCACAGTTTAGAAGTTCCGAGGTCAATTTGGATGGTCATGGAAAGTATCTTACACTTCCACTCTGAAAGTAACTATTCAAAGTTGAAGGTTAAGTAATAGCAGTGAGAAAAAGGGAAGCTCGGGCTCCTGGAAAAAGGAGGAGAAGGGGGAAAAACAAAGGCAATAAGTGGTCATATCACACTGACAAGCAATCCAAGTGCAGAAATTAAATGGAAAGTAAAGCTGGAGAACAGTTAAAATCAGATGTTCATCATGTTCACTATGCAGTGTTTGTACTAAAGCAGAAATATTCAGCAACAGCAGAGACCTCCCTCTAAGCTGAAAAAAAATGTGCATGAAAATGAATCATGTATGTATATGTATATGTATATGTATATGTATATGTATATGTATATGTATATGCATATGTATATGTATATGTATCACAGCAAATAAATCCGAAATAAATCTCTAGTAATGCTCTATTTCTCCTCCCTTTCCATTGCTGACAAAGTTCAGCCGCTGTCATTCTAAACAGTTGCATTTTAATTGTTCTTATAAAATAATTCTTCAGGATCCCGAGGGCTTAATCTCTTCATTGGTAACAACTTTGCATTAAAATTAATTGCCTCTAATTTGAGCCCATTATTCCTTGCGCTATCCTCAAAGACATAGAAAAGATTTTATTCTGTTATTCTTGTAGTAATGTTATAATTATATAATCTCTAATGTATTTTCATGTGTCGTCTGAGATATCTCTTCTCTGTGTTAAGAGAAACACAGGCTTTCAGTCATATGTGCTTCCAAAACTACTCTATTGTTACCATCAAGACCTTCTCTAACAGACCCTCTAAATTTGGCCCAAACTAGGGGGAGTAATGTTTCTTAAATTTGGCCCAAACTTTCTTTCTTAAGAATCTTTCTTACATTTATTTTCTTAAAAAAAATTTCTTAAATTTGGCCCAAACTAGCCACAGGACTTCAATGGCTACTCCACAAATTATGGGTAGAAAGCAAAAATTTTGCCGTATATTTTATATTCCCATTCCTGTATCACTTCATTGATTCCTCTGCATCCACATGCCTTTTGTGGTATTCAGGGGTGGGAGAGCAGGAAGTGAGAACAATTTTTTGTTAATATCTGATCATACTAAATTTCAATCTGAGAAAGAAGAGTACAGTGCATAGAAAGAATCAGTAGAGTTAAGGTCAGCCCTTGAAGGACAACTGAGTGTCAGTGTTCTGAGGAAGGCCAATTCTAATTAGGAAGGGTCTTTCTGTCTGATAAATCTTGTCTGTAATGCATCATTTTCATCATTTCTGTTAGGAACACCTTTCATGTATTGTATTCAGTATAATTATCATCCTTGTGAGAGATCAAAATTTTCTCTTAGAATGTAAAACCTCAATGCCATAAACTGCTG